TCCTTCCAATGCCTCTCAAGGGTTTTCTCACTTCCTCAATGTTGTCATCCTTTCTGAGGACTTTTATTGTCACCCTTTCTGATGACTTCCAAAGCTGTAGCATCAGCCTATGTCTGTACATCCTGCTGCCTTCTGGGCTATGCTATCCGGCTGTCCCTCTGGGACCTCCAAAGCACACCTCCAAAATTTAACCTGACACCTTGCTCTCTCAGCCTGTTTTTCCACTGTTGCCATACAGCTCAACCAAAAGCCCAGATGTCATCCTAATTGACTCCTTCTCCTTCATCTTCCACCCACGACGACTCATCAAGTCTTGCCAACTTCTCTCCTACAGGGAGTTCTCTCCATCCCCATAGCCCATTGTGGTTTCTAAACCTGTTATTTCTATAGCCTGGTTGTCCTACCCCTGATACCAGCAAAGGGTAACTTTGTTCAGTTCAACCTAAAGCCCAGATATTATCCTAATTGGCTCCTTCTCCTTCATCTTCCACCCACGACGACTCATCAAGTCTTGCCAACTTCTCTCCTACAGGGAGTTCTCTCCATCCCCATAGCCCATTGTGGTTTCTAAACCTGTTATTTCTATAGCCTGGTTGTCCTACCCCTGATACCAGCAAAGGGTAACTTTGTTCAGCTCAACCTAAAGCCCAGATATTATCCTAATTGGCTCCTTCTCCTCCATCTTCCACCCATGACGACTCATCAGGTCTTGCCAACTTCTCTCCTACAGGGAGTTCTCTCGTCCCCATAGCCCATTGTGGTTTCTAAACCTGTTATTTCTATAGCCTGGTTGTCCTATCCCTGATACCAGCAAAGGGTAACTTTGTTCAAGCTCAGACTTGATGAGGTCATTTCCCCGATGAAAATCCGTTAGTAGTACCTCATTTTACTCAAAAGATAAAACCAAGCTTTATTCCTCAAAAACTAAACATAGTTACCATATGACTCAGCAATTCCACTCTGGGTACATATCAAGAAAACCCAAAAAAACTAAAAGCAGGGGCATGAGCAGGTATTTTCCCACCTGTGTTCATAGCAGCAAAATAGCCACAAGGTGGAAACAACCCAAAGGTCCATGGAGGGATGGATAGATTAACAATGTAGCATAGACATACAACGGAATAGTGGTTGGCCTTAAAAAAGAAGAAACTTCTGCAGAATGCCACACATGCTGCGCCATGGGTGTTATGCTAAGTAAGTTAGCCAGTCACAAAGGGCCCAATGCTGAGTGATTCCACTTATATAAGGCACCTAGAGCAGTCATATTTGTGCTTGACTTTCTATAGAATGTAGACTGGTGGTTGCCTGGCATTGGGGGAGAAGGAATGGGGAAGAAGTATCACTTGAGAGAAATGCCAAAAGTTCTGGAGATGGATAGTGGTGCTGGTTGCACAGCCCTGTGAATGTACTCAATGCCACAGAACTATCCACTTAAGTATGGATAAATGGTAAATGTTATGTTGTGCATATTTACCACCGTAAAAATAAAAGCAAGTAAAAAACCACCAAGCTCCTCACCATGGCATATAGGTCTTTCTGGATTAGCGCTCCATCCACAGCTCTCGGCACACCCCTAACACCTTCTCCTACAGCTCTCAGTCCTCAGAAGAAGTCAGTGACCTAGGGTTTTCACACCCTACGCCTTGGTATGGTGCTCCCTCTCCTGACATGCCCTCTGCCCTCCCTCCCGCCACCTCTCCTCTCCTCACAGCCCCTGACCAATTCTTTTCCCTTACCTTCTGAATGTCAGCAAACTCTCTGCTGCTTAGTTTCCCCAGGCACCCCAGCCCTTCAATTGGTCTTCTAGGAATGATTACCCAGGTTCTGGGTCTCTTTGATTTTGTCATTCGTCATCTCTGGCTGTGGCAGGAGGGTACCAATGTTCTCCTCTCTAAGGTCCCCCACCCTCAGCATGCACTCTGCCAGCCTTTTCCCTGCACCCAAGCTAAGAACCCCATGCTTGTTCCCCTGTCAAGTTAAAGGCTCAATTCTCAGTGTATCTCAAAATGTACTTTTATAGTCAATAACCTGGGAAACAAATCCGCTTTATACACTCCCCTTCAGTTGCTCTTAGTCATAGAAATAGCTTTGAACTTGAGTTATGTAGATGTCCAGCAAGTTTCAGTAGCCTAAGTTAATGTGTTACAATGGGCACACTTAAAGCAAGGTAGGAATTGTTTTACAAATAAAGCAGGGAATGAAAATGTCTAAAACCAGGATTTAGACTAACTTAAAACATTGATTTCTGTATTCATTATTGTCTAAGTCATACTGCAGAAATACCAAAGTCTTAGAGGCTAAAACAAGGGAGGGTTTACTGCCCAGCCAGTATGGCTTGGTGGTTGAGCTTCAACCTATGAACCAGGAGGTCACGGTTCAATTCCTGGTCAGGGCACATGCTTGGGTTGCAGGTTTAATCTCCAGTGGGGGGCAGGTAGGAGGCAGCTGATTAATGATTTTCTCTCATCACTGATGTTTCAATCTCTCTCTCCCTCTCCCTTCCTCTCTGACATCAATAAAAATATTATTTTAAATAAGTAAATAAAATAAAAACAAGGGTTTATTTCTCACTCAAATTACATGCCCTTCATAGGTTAGCTCTATGCTGTATTCATACCAGGAGGAAGGAACAGACCATATTTGGTATGTATGTTTTTGTGACAGAGAGAGAGAGAGAGAGAGAGAGAGAGAGAGAGAGAGAGAGAGAGAGAGAGAAAGAGAGAGAAATAAATGGCAGAATGCACATGGCTTCTGAGATTTTCATCACTTTCACTTTCCTTGAATAGGCCAAAGCCAATGTCAGTGGGCAAGGAGATACAATTCTGTCATTTCTACGTAATAATTGGAAATAACATAACCTGTTCCAGACCCACACTCTTGCTTATAAGTATTTCTTTCCTTCGGCCACAAAATATGCTCCCATCCTGAAAGTCCCATCCAATTATAACATCAGACTTGAGATCTAGAATCCCAGGAGATACAGCAAATGTGGGTGTGGCTTCTCTTAGAGACAATGTGAACTAATAAATAAATAAATAAAATGGGAGCTATATAGCAGTCTAAGACTGAGAGCAATTCTGAAATCCTGTTGGACAGACCTTGGGATGAAAAATATTCTTTAATTAAACCCTCATTCTGCATCCTGGAAATTACTCATGATTTCAAGCATAATGCCCAACTTCACCATGATTTCAAGCATAATGCCCAACTCCAGCCTTTCTACTCCCCATGCTCATCTAACGAGGGCATTGGAAGTTGTGTCCTCCCTGGGGTCTACTGGTATATAGCTCTCCTCATAATGTTATGCCCATAGGAGGTTGGGAGCCTAACGATAATAGGGTTATGGAGTCTTTTAATGCTAGGCTATTGGCTCTTGGCCAATACAGTTCTCTCCAAAATGTAGTCATCTATTTGGTTCCAATTGGTGTATACTTGTAGCCACGCCCAAACTTATCTTTGAGACACACTTCTCTCTCAACTTAAGAGCCAGCTTCCTGGAGAGTCACCGAACGCATTCAGAGGTTTTGACAAGGGACACTTGGATTTGTTTTAATAGGCCTATATTGCTATTTAAATCATTTCTCCATTTTCTCTCTTCCTAGTTGGAGGTGAGAAATAACGATTTTTCCTGCAAGTCCAGGAATTTCTGAGTTGTGTCTAGAATTGATTGCAAGCCAATCAATTCTTTTCTGAGCTCATCTCCTTCTTGTAGCACCCTGTCAGATGCAACTATTTGCAGCCGGAATGCTGTTTCCCACACTTTCTCCCCAAAGCCACAAAACCGTTCAATAGGGATCTGTCCTACAAGTTACCACAGGCAATGATTTTACCAAGTGTTTTGCTACTGCATAAGAAAGGTGATTTTCTTTCTAGTCTCCAATAACAGTTTTCTCATTTCCCTCTGCCTCGCCCTGGAAGCCATACATCATACTTGAGAATTTTTGTAATGGTAGTCTATCATTTCTACATAATAATTTTCTGCATTGTCTACTTAAAGCCTGTTATGCTATGGTAGTAAAGAAGTCCAGAGTCTCTATGACTAATAACAAAAAGTGCATTTCTTTTTTTTAATTTAAAATATATTTTTATTGATTTCAGAGAGGGAGAGAAAGAAACATGTATGATGAGAGAGAAGCATCAATCTGTTGCCTCCTGCATGCTCTGCACTGGGGATCAAGCCACAACCCAGCATGTGTCTAGATTGGGAATTGAACCATGACCTCCTGGTCAATGCTCAACCACTGAGCCACACCAACTAGGCAAAAAAAAAAAAATTCTTACATTATTTTTTCTTTTGGGGGATATCTACAGGAATTTTCCACTGTATCCTTATTCTAGGACCCAGACAGAAGGAGCAACTTTTTTAGGGCATCCTGTTCTCATGGCAGAAGGAAAAGAACAAATGATAGAATCACACAAGGGCTCTTAAAGCTCCCAATGGGCAGTGGCATGTGTGACTTCTACTCACATCTCACTGGCTAAGAAGGTGACGGAACTGAGCCTGATGGAGATGCAGTGGGAAAGCATAATGCTGTCACCAGGAGGGGCAGAGCAGAACCAGGAATGCTGCACCCCTCTTCAGCTGCTCTTCCTCATAAACAGGCTTTGAACTTGAATTTTCTCTCGTTAGAACGAGATCCATACTTACAGCAAGCTGGGAGTTGCTGGCTTCTGGGGAGATCATAAAAATTTTAGAGGCATATGCATTGTCTGAAGTATGACACAACTCCCAAGTATACAAGGGGTGACAGCAGATGGCTGGATGAGTAGGAAACCAAACTAGCAGGTGGCATTTTTTTTCCTCCAAGAGACTCAGTGGAGGGGGATATGCTGAGCACACACGGTCTTCCCAGTAAGTTCACAAGTATGCTTGGAGCTGAACGTGATGGAGAACTGCTCATCTGATGTTCCAAAAAGCTGGGACAAGTTTCCATAAAAGGGCTTGAGGGTCATGCCCCAAACAGAGTTCTCACCCCTCTTATTCCTCTTTATCTTCACAGTTCGACATGCAAAGGATAACTCTGGAAGAGTTGAAGCACATCCTCTATCACGCCTTCCGGGACCACTTGACAATGAAGGACATTGAGAACATCATCATCAACGAGGAGGAGAGCCTGAATGATACCTCGGGGAACTGCCAGACAGAGTTTGAAGGAGGTAGGTACCCCTGTTTCTGCTTTCTCCCTGGTTGGGGACAGGTCAACGCCTTCACATCTTCTGTATGAAAAACGTGTTGACTGTCTCCTGAGCTGGAATGGCCTTGTGCCAAAGCCAGGAATCCAGGACTGAGGTTAAAAGATCCTTTTGGTAAAGATGCAATTGGTTTCTTTATTTTTTTTCCCTATATTTTCCCCAAACTCTGCATTTTTGCAAACCTCCATTGGCCCTATCCTTCCTCCAGTGACTCTCTGTGGTCTGTGACCAGATATGTGGCTTTGTGGTGTTTGCCTTGACTTAGTGAGGGCTGCACAGGGTTGTGGAAAGGGCCTGTTTAGGCTGTCAGTAAATCTAGATCAACTTCTGTGGCTAATTGTGTGACTTGGGCAAGGAGTGTGCCTTCCCTGAGTGTGTTTCCTCATCTGTGCACATCAAGTTAATATGGCTCTAACTGGTTTGGCTAGAGCTAGTGGATAGAGTGTTGGCCTATAGACTGAAGGTCCCAGGTTCAATTCCGGTCAAGGGCATGTACCTTGGTTGCGGTCATATCCCCAGTGGGAGGTATATAGGAGACAGCTGATTGATGTTTCTCTCTCATCGATGTTTCTAACTCTCTATCCTCCCTTCCTCTCTGTAAAAAAAAAAAAAAATTGATAAAATGTATTTTTAAAAAGATAATTACGCCTACTTCTCAGGATCTTTAGAAATGGGATACCTCTATGCTGTGCTCTCCAAAGGCAATGGCCAAAAACAGCCCCGTTCACGAAAGGATCCTGTGAACTTAGTGAAGTAGTTACAGAAATAGGTTCCCCTGGGGCCAAGAAAGCGTCCCCTGAGAAGCCATTTTTCTTGGGCTCATGGAAGAAAACAAAACCATCCTACCTTACCCCCCCAATCAGAAGAGAGTTCCAGGGAAGCTTAATGATCTGATCTCTCGTCCCAATGTTGAAGATCAGAACGGCTTTAACAGCTCTGATGTGTAGAATTTTTAAAATTCCATTAAAGCAGCAAAGCAGGCTTAACTTATTCAACACTGAGGTTTCTTACAGAGATCAAACTGTTTTTTCCTATTTCTTTTTTCCCTGAACATAATCAGAAGTTAATATCTACAGATGGTAAGCTATATAATTATCAAAATATGTAAGACAATATATAGAAGAAAGTCACATAGACATGGGAATGGCATTTGATTCCCTTGTCTTGGAGCTGACACAGCAGAGCTGGCCGGGCCATGACAGGGAAGCTGCTTGGGTAAGCTGACCAGACGTCCCGCTTTTTAACAATTTGTCCCACATCTTATGGCTTTTTAAAGAAGTCCTGGTTTTTGGAATTTTTTTTAAAATAAATTTTATTGATTTTTCACAGAGTGGAAGACAGAGGGATAGAGAGTTAGAAACATCGATGAGAGAGAATCATCGCTCAGCTGCCTCTTGCACACCCCCTACTGGGGATCTGCCCACAACCAAGGTACATGCCCTTGACCGGAATCGAACCCACAACCTTTCAGTTCACAGGGTGACGCTCTATCCACTGAGCCAAACCGGTCCCGGCCTGATTTTTGGAATTTTTAAAACGCCATGGGATGCCGGACAAATTATTAAAAATCGGGACTGTCCCACCAAAAGCGGGACGTCTGGTCACCTTATGCTTGGGGCTGAGCTGGTCCAAATGGCCACAGCAATTCATTCAGACCTGCCCTCTCTGCCCCCTCCCTGGACTGCACTGCTGGGTCCGTATGAAAGGTCATGACAAGGGGAAACAGGAGATGGCTTGTACTCCAAGGTGACAAACTAAATGAACTCAAACCAGGGAAATGGGGCATGGTAGGGACCGGGGTGAACTTGAGAGCAATGCCTCCTTGTAAAGACATTCAAATTCAACATGTTCAGAAGTGCTGTGGACAGCTAACAGAACCCAGCTATGGTCCCGAAGCTGCACTGGTCTCCTTCTTTGTGACCTGGGCTGTAGCATCTATGACCGTATTTGGAGTTGGAGCCACACAGACCACACAGGGCAACATGGTCACAGCCAACTCATTTCCAGTCAGACAGGCAAGGGGATTGAAAAGGTAATAGAGGTTCAAGAGCAGGGATTGGACTACAACTGGGGAAAACAGCAGGCCTGGTCTCCTGTTCCGTCTCTTTCCTATCTGACAGACTATGTGCTCTAATAGTGGAAGCATTTGGGGCTCCAGCCTCCCATGTCAGCAACTGCTCATGACAGAGGAGGAAAGAGTATTTTGGGCATCTCGTTTTCCACAGGAGCCTCTGTTTGTGGATCACTGTGTTATTGTTTTTGTGTGTGTTGTTGTTGTTGTTGTTGTTGTTGTGTGTGTGTGTGTGTGTTTTTCAGAGAAATGTCATAAGTCTTAGTAATTTGAGAAAGGTCAGACTGCACTGGGAAGTAATCTGAACTTTAAGCCATGTCTTTTTATTACTCAAAAGCTCATATATTAGTGACTGACAAAAAAGATTTCCAAATAGAAGTCTTACTGGGTCTGCTTTAATGATTCATACAAATAACATTGGCAGCAGCTATCATTTGAGGTTGGTAAATGATAAGGGCCAGTCACTGTACTAAGTGCTCTAAAATACATGATCTTGTTTAATACAAGAAACATTATTTTGTAATTAGCACAGTGCTTTTGGAGTGATCTCTGTGACCTTGATTATATAATCCCTTTTGTATATTTTCATTTCAGAGAGTTGGGTTTTTTCCCCCCTCACATATACATATATACATATACATATATACAATTATACATATATACATTTATACATAGTCATCACTATTTGGCCCCAAAAGCAAGCTCATTGGTTTGTGGTTAGGTTTAGATTATTTCAGTCTCAGATATGATTGTACTGTGGGCAAAGCTGTGTAGGAAGAGATGATGCACAGGGATTGAGTTCACCCCTGATGCCCCAGGATTGAACAAGTTCATTAAAGACCCTGTGGTTGAACTTGACCTCTTCCTTCTCCTCTTTCTTGCACTACTGCTTTCCACAACAGGGACATGTTGGCATTTTTAACCTCTCCCTGCTCCCTACAGCGATCTGAGAGCACAGTGGCGTGGCTCATGCCTTCTAAACCTCCTCACCGTCCTCCCAGCCCTTTGACCCTACTCTTCCCCACGTTATCAACTCTTGCTGTCCTTTCTTGCTCTAGCCTAGGCAGCATGCCCTGTTCAGCCACTTCAGCCATACCCTCGCCAACATTTCCGATGCCTCACCCACCTATCAGCTTCCGACAAGCCAACTCTAAGTAAATCCAGCATCGAAATCTGAAGGCACAAGGTGGTTTCTTTTTTCAAGTGATGGCATGCATTTCTCCTTAGATCTAATCTTCATGACCCACATTATCCAATGAGAGGGAAGGAAGCAGGCAGGAGATCCCCGCCACCCAATCCAGACTCCAGAGCCCCAATCAGGCCTCCTGTCTTGCTGCTCCCCATCCAGGAAGACCTTTCCTCTGCTCTTATTGGAGCTTTGCTGAGCAAGTACATGCTCACCTATAGACCTGGGGATCCACATGCATTGGAAATCCTACCCTATTTAAGGTCAGAGGAAGAAATCAATGGAGAACAAAAACCTGAAGGTACAGGCGGTCTTTGCCTTAAAAAGGTGAAAGGGCACATTTGTCTGTGAGCAAGGAAGGAAGAGATGGTGCTGAAACAGATGTTTTGTGGCTGAGTGGAGTTTTAAATAAAGCCCCCATTCCATAGCTGTGCAGTAAGCAAAGCTTGAGTCATGACTGAGATTCTGGAGTGTGGGAAAGGTTTGAAAATGTGTCCTTAGGCAACCTGTATGTCACGGAGTCAGAGATTCATAGGGGATTTCCAAATGCCATCAGTATCATTTTATGTCAGTGATTATACTTTTACTAAGGTGTTCACATTCTGTCCATGAAGTCAGGAAATGTTGATTATTCCTCCCACATGAATGGAACAATGAAAAAGAGAAAAATAAGCTAGAAGCCCCTGGGGTGTGGCGTCATTGATGGAAGAATTGGGCTTTTTTTTGTCCTCTTAGTTCTCATTTTGGGCTTTTTTTTTGTCCTCTTAGTTCTCATTTTGGCTAAAAGTAGGAATTTCAGGCAATCCCAATTCCTCAGATCTTTTTTGAGCTCTCTTATTAAGATAACTTACGTTGATGTCATTAGGTGTTAGTTGGCAACATTTGTGTTATAATTATTTTTAAAAAATAAATGGGTCCATATCCACCAAAATGGGTTAAATACAAGAATATGCGACTACCCACATATTCTTGGATGCCCATTCAGTGCCCATGCTACATAAGAGGAGTTTTGAGATGTTTTTAGTTCAACTGATTATGGTCACCAGACATTTTGTTTTTGGAGAACATAAGCTCTGTGACACTGAGAGACAAGTTCATATTTTATTATTTGGTTCAAGTCATATGTGCAACTGAGTGGGCTTATAGTTATCTATTTGCCTGTCCCTGATCCTTATTAAGCATTCTTATGACAAATTAAACTATATACTCAGTTAGGTAGTAATTGCTTCCAACGTTTACTGCTTCATCCCTATTGATGCAGTTCAGGAAGAACAGGGTAGAAGAAAACTGGTCAGCATGCCAGCCAAGGGCTGGTCATTTGTTAATACTTTCCATTGACCTGTCAGCACAGTCTGAGCGATAAGTTCTGTGACTGCTGTGGTTCAGGTGAGGAAACTTAGGCTCAGCGAGTGGAATAAATTGTCCAAAGTCAAATAGAAAGTCAGGATTTGAACCCAGGTCTACCTGCTAAAGTCCTGCCCTGGCCTCTTCATTGTCGGGGCCATTTCCTTGGGCGTATGCATTACAAAGTCTCCTTACAGAGCACAGCTTCAGCGTCCTTTCTCGTTTTCCATTCCATCGCCCATGAAATCATATTATATTTGGAAAGGGAGTAGAGATGCAGCAAGATCTGCGTGTGAGCCCTTTCGAGACACATAGCCCAAGTGTTGTCCCTAAATGGAACACCAGCTGTCAGATTTTTGTAGA